TTTTTGGACTAGAGCCCATACCCCTTTCTCTAGCATTCCTTAACTTAAGCTGGAGATAGTAAAACAGGAAAACATGCTAGGCTGTAATTTTAGGTTACACAAATGTTTATGAAGTTCTGACAGGAAAGAAAAACTAGTATACAGCCTGCAAAAGCTCAGGCAGCCCATGAACTGCAGGGAGACTGACAGCAAGGGCTGAGCCATTACATAAGTGACTGCCAGAGAGCTCCTGCTCTGGTTTAGAGGCATGAAGCAAAAAGGGTGTGGTAACTACTGAAAAACAAGTGGGCAACCAGACACTTTTTTAGCTTCTTGTTCTATTGAAAACCACATCGAGACACAGATTTTCAGAGCTACATTTAGAAATCTCAAGTAATTCAAAGCATGTAAAATTTCTGAAGAAAATGAGAAACTACATACATCTTTTCTTGCCATTTGTATACAAACACCACAAAATAAACATCCTCCATAATTAGTACCCAAGCTTAACATTGCTCTTTGCATCAGAAATTTGGACAAATCTTGGAAACAAACTAGTGAAACCACAGGCTATATTTTTTCAGGTTTAGTGGAAACAGAACTTGACCTTTACATGCAATTTAAAGGGCCATCTGTGCCTCTACATAATCTGAACAGCTCTGTCAATCAGGTATCCCCGAATTGAGAAGCACACAGAAAATATTGTATAGAAAATTTGGGACACTGCAATTTACAGTGCAGCACAGTAGACCGATACTAAGCAGCAAGCTGAGAAAGAAGACTTGAGACAAAAGTTAAAACAGAAGTGTTCTACAAGCTCGGAATCTTAAGAAATATGTAAACATGAGAGAATTACAAATAAAACACTTCAAGGTCATGTTCTATAGAAGAAGCTCTAGAGGACTGCTTCTTGTGAAAATGACAACTGGGCCTGAGGTGTATGTGAAGATGTACAACAGCAAGTGATCTATCTTAACAACAGCTAACACCGTTTCCTCCCTTAATGTAACAGGGCCAATAAAAACAATGAAATTACTATGCTTCAGAATTTTTTCTTTTAAACATCAAGCCCATAAACTACCTAACTCCCAAGTAAATGCAAGCAAGGTGCTGGTTGCACAGGTTCCTCTGCAGACTAATCCATCAAGGTCAAGGAGGGTTTTAAATCACTGCACAATGATTTTGAGTGGCTTTTTTTCAGTGAACCATTAGGAGCCCTACACTACTATGTGGAGAATCTGGGTGAGAAAGGAGATAGAGTACATTCGTCAGCAATGTGCTTCCATTCCCTCTCCTACCTGTCCCTTAGTTGAGCAGGCTGAGCTTTGCAAAAGAGAATAACCATACTAATCTAAGCTATTACAAAAGTTTCAGACACTGACATTAAAACAGTCAACATGCTCCAATGAAATTTCTAGTATTTGACATAGAAAATTCCCTATATGCATTCCAAATAGACAAACAGGTGCTGTTTAACAGCTTTAAAATATGTTTTTCTAAATAGATTCCATGGAGACTATGAATTGAGGTAAAGAATGTACTCTTTCAGTGTACATCTGCTGCATTAGAATAATGATTTCTTTGCTCAAGACACCATTCCACTTGCAGGTACTATGCTTCAATCGTCAGCACTAGAAAAGTAATACTTCTGAAAGCAGTTAGACCTGAGGCTTCTGGCATCCAGGTTACCCAGGGAATAGAAACATTAAGACAAATGGTTGTTTTCTTCGAAAACAAAAATGTTACAATTTTTTCAGAGTTCTGCTCTTGAAACACAGGAAGTCTCTTCAAGTACCATGAAGCAAAATAACGGTTTCACCTCATTTCTGAGTCTTAATGTTTGGGTTGGAAAAAGGAGGGGAGAAAAGACCAAAAAAAAAAAAAACAACAACCCACTTTGAACACTTCCTCCATTATTGTTATTGCTTCAAGGAAATACTTCTGGTAAAATTTAACAAAAAGCCATTTAACTTCTTGGAATATTTAAATACCACATGACACTCATGAATGAAGCAACCAGGGTAGACAAAAAAAGAGGATGAAATTCACATCATAGATGCCTGAAAAGGGTTAAATAGTTTCTGGATTAGCAGAGGTTGGAATAAATCTCATCTTCCTCTCCCTTTCAAATTCCTTTCCTGATGAATGTCCCTTTGAATGGCCTGCTTATTAGAATATTATAAATTGACAGAAAACAACAACAACAAAAAAAAATCAAGAGTCCAAATCAATTAACATGCAAGGCTTTTCCACTCTGTCAGCTTAAGAGATAACTACACCCCATGCTGACAGAAGTCAGAGTCAACAGCTTGCAATCCTTCTCCAGACCATGAAGGATTCCCAGTCTTCAGGGCTCTGAAAGTAACCTAGGGAAGGCAGCCTAATCCTAAATGCCTCCGGCTCCTGTGGAGCGCCAGACCTTTTCATCTTCTATTCTCCGTACAGATTCCTGCCATACCACCGGCTGCTGCACCAAGCCTCCCCCACCACTAAGCAAAACTGAGAAAGTGGAATAGGAATGTTGCTTTCCGTTGCCCTAGAGGCTAGCCAGGACCGGAGACACTGCAACACCCTACTCGCATTCACTCCCAGTAAGACACTGGAATGCTACTGTTACCCTTTGCAATAAGGAAATAAGGCAGTGAATAACCCTAAAACGACCTCTAAGGTTCTTCCTAGCACAAAACATTCACACAAAAATCTTTCCAAACCTAGTTAAACAGGTCAAAGCCGGCTAGTTCAAAACCTAACTGGGAATGATATTCACGTTCAATAAGCTTTCCAAAAAGTCAGCAACAAGGTATCTCAAACCAGGCACAGAAGAGCTGGGATAAACCTCTGGATTGTCAATACTGCTGAGAATATTGCATACCTAGAATTGTTCTGGGAAAGGTAAACACTCCCGCAGAGTCCATAGCAACTTTCCCATGCTAGTAAAACAGAGGCAGGGCTGGCATTCTTTAGTTTTGTGCACCAAGGCAATTCAAGTCTGGAATTTATGAGTTTTAGACATCACTTGAGCAGTAGTCTGATGGAGACACCTTCCTTCTCTTTTGAAAATGAAAGGAAATATTCATGTAGATTAATCACCAGCTCTGAACCACTACCAGATCAGGAAAGGTCACCTGTCCCTTGTTGCAGAATTGTAGCTGTCTGAATATCCACTGCCACATACTGCATATCTGGCAGGGATGAAGTAAAAGATGCATGCACATGCAGTTCCAAACGGTTTAACTGTTGTCTACAGAGGGAAAATGACTTCTTCAGTCTCCTTACAGCAATGCCAAATAAACTGTTCCTGATGCTATGTAGAAGACATTTCTTTTCAGGGGACAATAACTGTAGTAGGGTTAAGTCAATAGCTTGTTTAAGGAAAAGATATGTTGGTATTTCAGCTGACAAGGAGTGGGTAAGGGAGAAAAGGAAATAAAAAAGGAAGCAAAACAGTGATAAGAGGTTTACGGACAACCATGCTGCCAGGTATAGTATAGTATAGTATATGCTGCCATGTATAGTATAGTATATGCTGCCATGTATAGTATAGTATATGCTGCCATGTATAGTATAGTATAGGTGCATCTGTCCTTGCTCTTCATTGCAGATCCAGATCATTTTTTTTCCTTCTGGATACAGCATTCCTTCCAGAGTAACACATCAGTAGTATAGCTGTATTTCTTCAAGAGCTGCCACATCTTCAACAAATTGCTATCAGTACCCTGCCACCAGTCCACTGCACTGTGTCTGTATGGCTCACTCTTCCCCACCCACGGCTTCAACCAATGCAGCTTAATTGATCCATCATGTCAGGTCTCCCATGTACTCTGTTCTGCATGGCACTACACTTCAGCAACCTTTTTCAGCATTCTCCACACAAAGATTGTTTCAAGACACCACCTCAGGCAAGCAAAGGAGTTTTTCTTGCTCCCTTTTCACTATAGGCAACCACTTTGTTACAGTCCTCCTATGCTTGAAAGTGCAAGTGATAGTGAGGGCAGGGAAAAAGCAGAACTCTTTAAGACCAAGTCTAATTAGAATTTTAAAGCATGATTTTATTATATCTGGCCTTTGTTCAAAAAAAGTGAGGCTAATGACAAGACCTAGGAGAGACAAACACCTTAACCGTTGCTAGTAATCAGAAAATAAAGTAGTCAAATTCATACAAGCCATGCCAAAACAAGATGTCCATCATATCCTTTAAACTTGACAAAGCATGCTTCTTCATATAACCCAGCTACAAACAGGAAGAAAAGCACCTCCGCACCTGAACACTCACCAAGCTCCCCAAACACGAGCTGACTCAGTGAAAGACCTCCTCTCAGAAGGGAAGATATGCACAGGACATTCAGATCTCCATATTTAAAAGTCCTCAAGTGACAAACAAGCAGCAGATAATACATATGGTTCTTTACTTCTCATTTGTATACATGGGGAAAAATAGGTCAATCTGCTTGCTTTCTGCTATTCTATGACAAGCCAACAGATGTACTTAATATTGCCTGATAGAAAGTTTTATTCTTAACAAGAATGTAACCAAACAGCTCTTGATCAGTGAAACTACCACTGACCATCACACTTCAAAATGCAGGTTATACTAAGCTTGTTTCACCCAACTAGACTATATGACTGGATTTAAAATACTTTTGTTAAAAGCCTCCATCAATCAATACATATACTTGCCCATCTACAGCTACCATTCCATAGCCTCACCACTGAGAGGGAAGTTCAGTATCTCCATTCTCCTTGCCTGCTTCTCTAAAGCCCATGTATTCAACACCCGCCTGTTCTTTACGTCAAGTTTAGCTCTTGTCAGATCCTTTGTAAGGTTCTTCAATCCACTAGAGCAGGAGAAAGCTATTCACCTGAACACAAGAGCTGGTACCAAGCAGATGTCAGGTGTCTGTAAGCAAGGACAGAGGGAGTAATGATGCCTATCGATAGTAGCGAGTTGTTCTCCTACAGTGTTTTGACTGCAATCTTGATTTGTGATTTCAACAAGAGTCATTATCTCAGTCAGCACTCACCTTGCATCATACTCCTGTAGGCTGTGTCTGTGATGGCATAGATATGAGGGGGCATCTCATGTCTCTTTTTGCCTTTGTACATCTCCACTATTTCTTCTGAGTATATGGGCAGGTTCTTGTAAGGATTGATTACCACGCAGAACAAGCCTGAGTAGGTCTGGAAAGAAAACACCCCAGCAAATAAACACAGGAATTAAAAATTATGCATACTTGCACCTTTTAACAACTTATTTATTGGGAAACCAAATAAACAAACAAACAAAAAACCCCAGTCCTTTAAATGCTTCTTCCAGTGATCCCACTAAGCAATATTAGAAATCTGAGCAACAGCTAAGTCATATCAACTTGACTAGTACTCAACCTTTCCAAGTATGCACAGAGCATCAACTGATACATAAGTCACACTGATACCAAATCGGCTGCTCCCTAGCTAGTTAACAGTCCACTAGGATTGGCTTTTCTTCCTTTCAAAGTTCCTATATTGAAGTCAAGTGTCCACTTCATTATATAAGGTAGGTGCTCAACTCCTAGAAACATGCATTTTATGTCCTACCTCATGTTTGCTATAGATTTATCCAGTAATTGATCAACTACAACATAACCAAACTTCAAGTCAAAAGAGTTACTAATGGAAAAATAAGACCAGTGTACTCCTTACGAGATTTTCAAGACCACTGGACAAGGCTGAATTCAGTGTTGACCCTGCTCTGAATAGGAAGTCAAATTAGATGGCCTCCTAAAGACCCTTCCAGCCTGAACACTTTCATGATTTATGTTAGTAGCAAGTATAACTAAAACTAGATACAAAACTGTAAGGTCATTAATGTAATATAATTTTGAACCTGTCAATATAGAAAACAATTCTAAAGTATTCCATGCTCAAAGAGTCAGTAACATTTACCAAAGTTTAATTCTGGTTCATCTCAAACAGTTAATTCATTGATCTGTGACAGTAAACCTCAATTTCTCAGTTGGTTTCCACTGGCTCAAATTCTACAGTTCTAATGGAAGACAACTGTCAAGATACTTCTAGTGAAATTATCAAGCTTCTTAAAAAAAATAATAATCTTTGAGATCTGAATACCTAAAAAAACCCCAAAACCTAACAAACATTTTACTTGCAAAGGGAACTGGAGGAGCAGAGGCTTCTTAGATATTTCCTAGATATTCTAAGAATAGCATTCCAAGCTTTGCTCCTGGGGTTTAGAGCTACCCTAGATCCCAGTCAATTTTAGAGGCAGCTGTCTGAAACATTTGGAGAGGAGTAGCTTTCTACAGCAACTTGCAGTGCTACCAGAAAAGAGTACATTCGGCACATTTTTGTTTCTACTGCTACCATCTCTTCTATTGTTTGCTCAATGAAGAGCGCTTCAGAGTGGTAAAGAGCTCTCCACAATGCACACAGAGAGGACTTAATCAGATTTAGCCTCTTTAGCTAGATAAAAGTAGGGATTAGACTACAGTGATCAGAAGGGTGAAAATAGCATCTACTACAGTTTACAGTCTTATATCCAAATTTTCTACATGCTAGATAAACCTTAATGTAGCAGATTCAGATATAGCTTTCACTCTATATCCCCCAGAGAGCAAAATTTTTTATAGGTATTTAAGGTTCCTTTTCCATACCCCAGTATAAACTATCAGGAAATGTTTCCAGACCTACTTTTTTTATTATTATTACTTCATATTTGAGGAATATTTGAATAGCTTACAGAAAATACTAAATCTCTTTCCAAAATGGGAAACTATGAAAGCTGGCTAAAAACCTTTTTGTACAGGACTTCTAAAGTTCCAGGAAGCTAAGCTTCAGTGGGACATTCTAGTCAGGTTTGGTTTGAAATAGTGCTTGAAAGGATCAGTTCAAGGAGTTTGGAGAAATCAACAGAGCAATGCTAGTTCCTTTTGCCTCAGCCTTAGTTCTCCATCATGTCAGAGTACTTGTACAGCACACAATAGCAGCTGAAAGACTGGGTCATGCTTTCCTGACCTTTACTACATCACTGGAAGGCAGAGTAGGACCAATAGGTAGTAGGAAGTCTACTCAAGAGTAGCATGTTCACAGTACATGCAATACACCTTTTCCTTATACTAGCATGGAAATAATTGACATTGGAGTCAACTGAACTATTAGAAGAAAAGCTGTTTTATCAGAGCACTGGAAAACAAGTAAACGAAAATGCTTTACGCTGCCAGTTCCAGCTGTCCACATTAGCGACCATCTTGCCTCAAATCCCATGGCAGCAGCAACACACACGCAGCAATCAAAAGAAGATGTCCTATACAGTCTCTGTTCTCCTCTGCAACCAAACTGTAAGTCCTGTCACAGACTGAACCTGCCTCTCCTTTGAAGATGTTAATAAAGCTAAATGCCTGTTTGCTGCTTTTGGGGGATTAGAAGTGAGAGCAAAAGAGAAGTGGTAGCGAGTATTGTGGCGATATTCCACAAGGAATGTAAAGTTTTCTTGTCTGTATTTGTGTGACTTTTTATGGCCACATTTCCTGACAAATTAGAATTGTCGCTTTTCAAGCAAGAAAAGTGTAAAGGTCTGAAGCTGGACTGAAGCAGCCTTACTAATGAGAGCAGCAGTTTAGAAAACGGAAGACACTCATTTCAATTAGAGTGATGAAGCCATGAAGCAGGTATGCAGGAAGAAGCCATCACCTTCTTTCCAGCATTCTGGCTGCCAGGAGAAATACCTAAAGAAAGTTTCCTTGCAGTATAATGATCTCAGACAGATGTGTGAGGTGATATTTTTGTCTAATAAAGAGAGACAACTAATCACGGGTGGGATACGCAACTGAACAAGACCACCATGTCACGACTATTGGTCAAGCACGCTGACAAAGTGCTACATAGGAAGCAAGCTGAATTGTACTGAGGAGAAGCTGCCAACTTTACCACAGAGAAGACAAGAGTCTGGAAGAGACTGGAAAAAGGGAAACATAGCCCCCATCTTTAAAAAGGGGAAAAAAGAAGACCCAGGGAACTACAGGCCAGTGAGTCTCACCTCTGTGCCTGGCAAGATCATGGAGCAGATCCTCCTGGCGAATATGCTAAGGCACATGGAAAGTAAAGAGGTGATTGGTGACAGCCAACATGGCTTCACTAAGGGCAAATCCTGCCTAATTTTGTGACCTTCTATGATGAGGTTACAGCATTTATGGCTAAGGGAAGAGCAACTGACATCATCTACCTGGACTTGTCTAAAGCATTTGATACTGTCCCACACAACATCCTTGTCTCTAAACTGGAGAAACATGGTTCTGACGGCTGGACCACTCGGTGGATAAGGAATTGGCTGGATGGTTCAATATCCACATGGAGGCCTGTGATGAGTGGTGTTCCTCAGGGGTCAGTACTGGGGCCAGTGCTATTTAACATCTTTGTTGGAGACATGGACAGTGGGATCGAGTGCACCCTCAGCAAGTCTGCAGATGACACCAAGTTGTGCACTGTTGTGGACACACTGGAGGGAAGACATGCCATCCAGTGGGACCTTGACAGGCTGGAGAGATGGGTCTATGAGAACCTCATGAAGTTCAACAAGGCGAAGTGCAAGGTCCTGCACATGGGTCGGGGCAATCCCACGCACAAGTACAGACTGGGTGAAGAATGGATTGAGAGCAGCCCTAAGGAAAAGGACTTGGGAGTGCTGGTCAATGAGAAGCTCAACATGAGCTGGCAATGTGCACTGGCAGCCCAGAAAGCCAACCATGTCCTGGGCTGCATCAAAAGAAGCATGGCCAGCAGCCCCCTCTGCTGTGTTCTTGTGAGATCCCACCTGGAATACTGTGTTCAGCTCTGAGTCCCCAACACAAGAAGAACATGGAGCTGCTGGAGCAGGTCCAGAGGAGGGCCACAAAGATGATCCGAGGGCTGGAACATCTCTCCTATGAAGACAGGCTGAGAGAGTTGGAGCTGTTCAGCCTGGAGAACAGAAGGCTATGGGGTGATCTTATCACAGCCTTCCAGTACTTAAAGGGGGCCTACAGGAAAGCTGGACAGGGAGTTTTTACAAGGGTATCTAGTGATAGGACAAGGGGCAATGGCTTGAAACTGAAAGAGGGCAGATTTAGATTAGATATAAGGAAGAAATTTTTCACTTAAGAGGGTGGTGAGGCACTGGAACAGGTTGCCCAGAGAAGCTGTAGATGCCCCATTCCCTGGAAGTGTTCAAGGCCAGGTTGGATGAGGCTTTGGGCAACCTGGTGTAGTGGAGGATTTCCCTGCCCATGGCAGGGGGGGTTGGAACTAGATGATCTTTGAGGTCCCTTCCAACCCAAACCATTCTATGATTCATCTTATTTATGTACAAGACTTATATGCATAAATCCCTGAACTGAACCCAAGGCTCAAATTGAAAGGCTAATCTATTATAAGCATAGCTGGCTTAGAAATCTGTACTTTGTTTCAGACATTACTATCTCAAAATAGAATTCTGGCACTACCTTTCGCTAACTATCTGAAGTGACACATGGGCCAAACTGGAACAAGTTTTATTTTTCTAAATGCTAAACTAGCTCTGAAGAGCTGAAAGGACCATCTGCAGCATGGCACAAAGCTCACAGCATCAGAAAGTTTATTTTCCAGCAACCATTAACTTCAATGAAATAACTGGAACATGTAAGGTTGAGTTTTGAGTTTCACACTCAAACGAGGCAGTTCAGATAAGTAACATAGAAGTTAAAAATGATTTTCCAATAAGGCATTCCAAAAAGAAAGGGTTAATATGAAAGCTAGTCTATTAGCAAGTCACCTCAGTGCAGAATCAATCAGCACATAGAAACAGCAAATTGGTGTCAGACTCAAGCTCTTAGTTCTTGAAACATTTGACAGTCCCTGCTCAAAATTTGTCTACCCCAGACATAAGATTTTCCCTTCCTTTTATAGGATGGGTAGACAGAAAAATAAAAGTTTTTAAAAAAAAAGAAAATAAAAAAGCCACAAAAACGCACAGCCCTGCTGGCAAAGAAGAGAGAAGGGACAAGAGCAGAACTAAATTGTGTTTATGATCTTTCCCAAGACATTTATGCTAGAGATACATTGCATGTATTCTCTTTCTTCAAGAGGATTAATGATCAACTAACAGCCACTCCAATGAAAGTATTTTAAGCCTTCACATTAATCTCCTGACTTGCTGAGAACTGCTGACAGGTGAGATCAGTCCATTTCACGAGTGCACAGCAACACGGTTTTGGCAAGACTCAGATTCTGTAATAGAGCACTACTAGGCTAGGTTTACTTGGGTAAAACGTGTGGGGATTTTTTTATACTTCTTACAATCCAATTAGAAGAACTGAATTTATTACAGTCGCAGACCGTGTCTGAAATTTCAGAGGATGTCTTGCAAGATATGTGAAACAGTCCATTGCATAGTGTGCAACAGAGTGAGATGTTGTTGAATTATTTTCAACAATTTATTACATAATGTAGCAAAGTTTCCTGTTCTAAAAACGTTATACATGATGTTGCATATCCTATTTTATCTGAATACCAAGATTCTTCCCTCTGAGAATAGATTTTGACCAGTAGTCAAAGGACTTATTGACTACACGGAATAATTAACTGCATCAACCTCCAACCATGTTAGGTCTCAAAATTTTGACATCAGAAGGTGAGAGTCAGACTAAATTTATATCAGCTTTGCATCCTTCAGATGCTCTCTGATAATTTCTGCAACAGTCATCTATATGACATCATGCCATTCCAGAGAAGCAGTGGTCACAGCACTAGCCAGAGTCAGAGTTCCTAGCGTGTGTTCATGCTCCTTAACTTAGAAGGCAACCGTTCACAAAGGTTTCTACCCAAGATGGATAGCCAGGGTGAATTCCTCCTGCTACGTGGTGTCTTAGACACCACCAGTCTCTGTTAGGACAAAAGAGATCATCTATAGCTTGCCACATAAGATGACTACATAAAAGACTATATCCCTTCAGGTGTGACAAAGCAGTAAGCATTCAAAAAAAAAAACCAAAACAAAACAAAAAACACACCAAAACAGACAGATATTGCAAAAGAATTTTTACCTATGTTATCTTCTCTACATGACAAGAGAGGCAGCTTTTGGGTTTTGGCAACAAAAAGAGGCCGGGGGGGAGGGAGGGAATCTAGACAGACTTTCTTCAAGGATCGTATTAATATACATGTTTATACATGAAATTTATTCTTTAATACCTTTTATTTTAATAGATTTTCTGATCTATTGTAAAGAAGACTTCATAGTGCATAAAAATACTGAACATCCAGCATTTCTACATCTCTCAGGATTCCATCTCAGGCAGTCTCATCTTAATTCTGTAAGCAAAGGCTAGTTTGAGAATAAATAAACCAAGAAACACTAGTTCCTGTTTTAACCAGCCACTGCATCCAAATTTTACATTACCCCTGTGTTTAATCATTTATTAATGCACTGCAGGCATAGAATGAAGCAGAGGCTATCACAACCAACATCTGCTGGCTAAACAGAGGCCACATGAAGAGGAAAATCAGAAGGGAACTGATGAACTAAGTCAAGGTTCCAAGTTCTCCTTCCCGTTTACTGCTTTTGGTATTCAGTGAAGTAGTTGCTGCATGCTTCATCGGGTACATTCGTTGGTCCCATAAACGGTATCTTTGTCATTTCCAAAGCAATAAGAAGCAGGAATCTCTGCTTTTGTCCGTTCAGTGGTGGAAAGAAAATGAAGTATTTTCCATCTGTAAGCACATGCAGGCATATATGTGCCTTCTTTACTAAGACACTCCAAGATCCAGAATTTTTGTAACATGAAAATCTTGGCATTAGCATTCTTTCCCACTGAAGCTTCAGACGTGGGAAAAAGATTCAGATGTTCAGTATATTAGGGTTATGTTTTATTATTTGGTTCAGTTCAGATCAGACTCCCTGTTTACCACTTTCCAACTGCTCTCACTTCTTGCTAAAAGAAAGTTAAATGGCATTCAAAACATCCTGCAAATGATGACATTAAAACGTTAAAGACAGATTTACCACAGCATTCCTTGAAAGCTTCAACATTAACTAGAGGGGGATTGGCATAGTTTAGTGAAAAAATTTTAAGTAGAGGGAAGAAGCTAAGTCACATGAGAGTTGCATGTTGGGGCAACGAAAGGTTAACATACACATTTTAAAAGCAAAGTGATTACACTAAGCTCACATACTATGTAATCAAGAACTCTTACCCTAATAGACACGATTACTTACATAGATCAGTCCCGAGTAGTATCTCTCTTTCAAGTTGTGAAGCACAGAAGCCTCATTCAGGCATGTCAGCTCTGCCATATCTTCCACTTTAGAGAATTTGGGAGGGTTCATCTTCTGGATGTCATCCTTATTTACTTTCACCTTCTTCCCATTCTCTGCCAGTTCCACGATGGCCTCATCTCCTACTTCTTCCTTCAGGCTAGCTGCCTCAAACCCATTCTTCTCTGAGGGAACCCATACCAGCTTCTTAGCTGCCCAGTCAGCCTGAGTCAAGGGGTTATTAATGATGTTTTTGTCCACATAAAGGTACTTATCTGCATCTCTTTGCGACATTGTGTTCTAGAATTGAGGACCTGTGAAAAGAGGGGGAGGGGGAATAAAAAGATATTTTTAAAACCTCAAGTTGCCTTGCAAATTCCTAGAGGCAGACAGGCACATGCTAAGTACTCCCAGCCCCTGGCCATCAGAGCATGCCTCCCCCTCCTTCAGTTTCATGTTAGTAAGCACTGGTAAGTTGTCAAACTTCCAATAAGGTCAAGGTTTTGCTTGCCAAGAGGATGAAAGAAAAAAAAACACACAACAAAAACACAAACTAGCACACAGTTAAAAAAACTCTACAACAAAACATTGACCGTTAAGCATTTGGAAGTCATTATATGGCAGAAAAGAGAACACACATTAAAGTGGCAAGCATCAAACAATTTGTAAGATGTGCCAATGCTCCTAGCATCAGATAATATGTTAGTAACATTCAAGTCAAGATTAGCCCTTCACTGCTCTCTTGCTAGATACTAGCGAGATACTAGCTCAGAAATATAATCATAAATGTTTAATCAACGCTTTTACTTCCTGTTCTGATAAACTACAAATCAAATATCACAATGTCTTAGAAATGCCATATAACAGTCTAGGCAATACAAGAGACACACTTTGCTTCTAAAAGACATCATTGATAATTTGAGGATATCAGTTAAGACTGACATTAGATACTTTTCATCGCCATCTTAGTAGCAACATCCAGCCCACCAGTTTGTATCTTTTTTCTAGATAACGTTCAGTAGCAAAATACGTCCAAGACGATAACAGAATAAGTCTGTGGTCAGGAAATTTTACAGACAAAAATCCTCTGTTGGGATCCTTCTATGAAGCTATAGTTGTGTAGAGGAGAGAGTATCACCTCTACGAGAGGAAGATTTAGGCAGCTTGCTCAGAAAATGGCCTAGATTTAGTGTTTCATTGAAACCAGAACACTACCAACAGAAATTTTCCAGTTTATAAGGCAGCAATTTTATTGGTGCCATTCAGAAATCCTTTCAATCAGAAGAAAGGACTGCATGTGTCTAGACTCACTAACCATGTAACACCGGCCTCTTTACAAGGTCCCATAAACATTACTTCTTGAATCCTTCCTCACAAAGATACTAGTGTCCTCAATATATGTTTTTCATAACTGGAATAGACACTAGGTCTCTTTACCATCAAAAGAATAGGAAATGAAAATATCAATATTCATGTTATGGAAAGCTGTCATGATCTACATGGGTAACTTTTCTACAGAACATAACCATATTTACAAACCAGCCTGCAAATCAAATAGGTGAAATCTGACTATAGGTACCGCAGACAAAAAGGTTTTGAGAGCAGGACAGAAGCAGTTCAACTCCCGAAATATGCATGAGAGCAACAATAGATGCTGAGTCCCAGCATTAGGAAGCAGTGAATGAATCCAGAAAAACATCAGCTGTAAAAACGATGGGCACAAATGCCCACACCAGTCATTTGTACGCATGTAGGG